GGTAACACATACCAGGCGGGTTTAGCTGGGGCATGCATACCTCCCCCAACCAAATCACCACCATGACCAGCATGTCAGGCCAAAGAACTGAAATGCACGTTGAACAGAGTAACCAATACATTGTGGGCCATCAACGCGCCCAGCGGTGCGCGGTCGTCTGACCTTGACAGGCCGGGCGTCCACGCGGATTTTGCCCCACGAGACGGCCTCGTCGGGCCTGGCGCCCGCGTCGCTGCCGTCAAACTCGCTGGCCGTGTTCACGAACACGGAGAAGTCGGCGCCGTTTCTCTGTCGGGAGCGGCGGCCGCGTGAGGTCACCGGGTCTCGGAAGCACAACACGCCACCCTCCAGGTCCCGGTACACATCGCGCCGCACGCAGGGCGCTGGGACAGTGGGGCAGCTTCAACCAAAGAGCGGCCTCACGATGTTTTAGATAAGCGTGCAAAAGATTCGCTGTGACTTATTTCACTGGTAACTTATTGAAACTTTTGTATTACCTTTTGCGTGTGTAACACTCGGCATCTTTAGTGTTCTATGCTTCACATTGTGGGGTTTGGGACATCATTTATTTCAACCGACATTTGGTGCACGTGTGGTTTTGACATTCGAGACCAAGGCTAAGCATAGCTTGTTGCGAGGTCCCTAATCCCATCCCCTCAGGAGAACAGAGAAATTGGAGCAGTTATTATCAGCAGACAGATATAGAAATGCAACGTAGCTCCACGACACGACAATGCCTTTCCAGCCCGAGCCCTTGATGGCCAGTTATCAGTCGACCGTTTGGAACAAACCAACTTATCGAGCGATCTTTCTGGGATGTAAGCCCACAACACCTGCCACCCTAGAGGTCACGTGTCCAGCGTTCTATACACTGGGTTGAGCGAACATGGCGGGGCACGGCTTCTCAACACATACATACAGCACTCCAGCTACGCATGACTCATGGGGCGCAGATAAGCAAGGGCGGGGAGAACGACGCAAGGTACATCAGCAACGATGCCTCATCTATTTTAACACTATCCATGGAACCGGTTCCCTCGGCGG